ATCGCCACCCTGCCCTCCGTCACGATGGCCTCCGAGAGGGATCTCAGATGCTTGATTGCATCTACTGTGGATCTCCCCTCCCGGAAGCCATATTGACCGTCATCGAGGTTGGGACCTTCCCGGGACATATGCTCCTGGAGGCGGGCAGCGATAATCCGCTCGAACAATTTGCCCGCTTCGTCCAGGAGACATATGGGCCGGTACGCGGAGGGGGAGCCCTCCGGTTTGCCCTCTTTTTGGAGGAGGACCACGTTGGCCCTCCCCCAGACTGGGGGGAACCTCCTTTCCCTGAAGGCTCGCGAAAAGAGCGTAGCGAATCTCCCATTTAAATACCCTGAGGCCAGGGTCAGGACACGGCCGGGGATGCCATCCGGTCCGGGAGCTTTCCCGTTCTTGACCTTCTTGACACCCCCGGCCACCTCCTCCTCTGTGACCCCCGGTACCTCCCCCTGTTGTTCGGGGGATGGTGGAATGTACGGGGTGATGGGGTTACCCTCCCCAACCGGGAATAGGGTTCCCATCACCCTCTCCAAGAACCGGGGGTCAAGCGTCACCGTCTTTGGGGGCGTCCATGGTCTCATCTTCTGCATTACCATTCTGTATGGACGCCCCCACGGGTCAGCGTCTAGTGAGAGGAGGAGGTCGTCCCACCCTCTTCCTCTGGCCACCCCGATGGCCTCTCTGAGTTCTACTGCTGCTTTGCAGAATTCCATCCGGGTGGCCAGGACGGCCTCAGGGTCCTGGGGTCGCTTATTCCGCTCATTTCGAAACGTCCGCCTGGCGTGGACCGACCTGCGCCTCAACTCGGCTATGTGGTCGGACCACCACCAGGCGGACCGTTTCGGGCAGGACCTGACTCTGGGCATGGAGGCGTCGCACGCCTGTGCGAGTATGTCCATGACCTCCATGACCTCAGAGTCAAGGTCCTGCCCTTCCCTTCGTCGTGGCCAGGTGGAGCCTTCCAGGGAGATCTCCAGGATCTCCCTGTTCAGCTTGGCCAGTGACCATCTTCCAGGTCGGGGTTCCTTCCTTTGGACCGGCCTCAGGCCATTGGGGGTGACGGACAGTTCCATCTCGATAATCAGATGGTCTGACAAGGTTTCGATCTCGTCCGCCACCCTCCAGGTCTGCACCCTCCCCATGGCAGCAGGGGTTGCCCATGTTAAGTCGATAATTGACTCCCCCGCTGCCCTACAAACGTGGAATTATTTCCTCATTGAGGATGTGCAGACCCAGGCCTCGGCCCAGTCCACTGTTTCCTCCCCCCTCCTGTCACCGCGCCGGGATCCCCACACTTCTGACTTTGCATTAAAATCCCCGGCAACGATGACAGGACCCTGGAGATGCTGTCTCACAGCATCTCCAATCTCTTGGAGCCTGGACCTGTACTCAATCAGGCCCAGGCTCTTTACTGGGGGGAGGTATACCCCGACCACCGATGGTCACACCCCACCTGACCACGACGTACCCCCGGCCACAACTCAAAAACTTTGCCGGGGGTGAGTTTTCGCTCGCCTTCCATGTGATAGCGACAGAGCCCCTGTCGTCCCCAAACCACTCGGGTGGTTTCTGGGGACATAATAGGGCTCTGCCGCTATCCCTAACCCTGCACCGCGCTCCACCATCGTATGCTCAAATAACGGTTGAGCTTGGCGGGCGCGGTGCAGGTTTGCTTGTAGCAGCCTGGTGGTCATTATTGATCAGTTGGGTTAATTATGACCTTCCCACCAGGCTGCTCTCCCTCGTCGCTCTCGGCAGTTTCCACTGGACGCGGACGTTTTTCTCCCCTCTTTTCCTCCACCTCCATTTGCTCCTCCTCCGCCTGCATGGTGGGCGGAGGGGGTGGTGGAGGTGGAAGTCGCTTCCTTTGTGGGAGCGGCGATGAGGCTTTGTTTGCCTCTCCACTTCCCGTTTCCTTTTCCTCATTCCTTTCTTTGCCGCTGGGGGGGACAGGAGGGTCCTTGGGCTTCGGTGCGGACGCCTCTTGCCTCTCTACTGTCCCTCCCACGGTTCTCTTTCTTCCCTTCGGTGGCCGGCAGGCTGGTCCTCCCATCCTGTGTCCTGCCGGCACACCTGCGTCAGCGCATATTTGGCACCTGGCTCTCGACTCACAGTCTCTTGCCAGGTGCCCTTGTTCTCCGCATCTATAGCAATTAGTTCTCCTGTCTACGTTACTCCTGCAGTTTTGCTGCACGTGTCCTTGTTCCAAGCATTTATAGCACTGCAGGGGTCTCACTTGCAGCATCTCCGCTTTTACCTGCGTCCACCCTATTTTGATGTTCCCCTTTTCGGCTATTTTTTAGCCGCCAGTATGGGGCATTGTATCCACAACGATCTGACCTCGTTAGGGGCTACTCTTATTTTCCCCGTCTTGACATCTCTTTTCTCACATCCGCCTATTTTGGCCACCTCCTCTGCGGCTTCTTCCTCTGTGGTGGATATTTCGATGTTTCTCAACCTAAGCTCCCCCATTTTTTGAGGCCTGCTTACTTTTGCCTTGTCCAACAATACGTCTTTCAGCTTATCCGCGAGGATGTCAGCCCTTTTCCCTCTCTCTTCACCCGGAATTTCTAGGACCAATGCTCCTGTTATTCCGACCCTGGTCTTTAGCCTGTCTATTCCTATACTAGTTAGGTCAATCCTTTTCTTGGCCTCTGCCAGCAGTTCTTTGTACTGGCTTTTGTCAGCCGTTATAGTAATTGCCGCCGTGTTGGGGACTTTTCTTTTAACCTTCTTGCCCTCCGCCTTTTTCTTACTTTCCTCCTTCTTTATTTTTTCAATTTCTTTTTTCTGTTCCTCCTTTCTCAACTCTTTCTTCTCCCTTCTTCCTAGTACCTTTGACCATGGCATCTCCTGGTGTGCTGGTGCAGGTATTTCCTCCTCGGGCTTTACTTGCCTGTCCTTTCCCGGATTTCGGACCTGGGGCTGTCTAATGTTCCTTTTTTGGGCTTTCAGCTGATCTCCCCTTTCTTTTCTTTCTTCGCCGCCTTTGTTTCCCCCTTTATCCATTCTTTGTAACGAGGTCTCTTGATTCATTCGCGGCACCCATGTTTCAAGTACTTTCAGTACCATTTTCGTTACTTTTCCCTCCAGGTCCTCTGCATTTTCCTTTCCCATTTCAGCTACCTTTTCCACTCTTATTCTTTTGTTGAGCGGAATGTTCTCCTTGATGGTCGGTCCCTTTCTTTGCACCTTGGCGACCCTGGTTTCCGTTTTGCTTTCCTCCACCGGTTTTGTTATAATTCGTGGGATGAGGCCTTTTTGCACCTCAATTACCCCAATGGGTGCATCCTCCTCCTCCTCCATCATATCCGCAATTGGAGGGGAGATTCTTCCCCCCTCCAATCTTTCCTTTTTCCTCTCTATGTAGATCGGAGGCGAGGAGGCACTCGGAGTCGTCTGCAGTGCCCCCTTTATACTCCGATCCGCATTTCCTTCCGGTTTCGGAGGTGGGGGGGATATCGCCACAAATGGCGTTACCTCCCTTATATTCCGGAGCGTTTCCTTGATTTCCTCCAGCTCTTTTCGGACATCCTTCAGTGATTCCTTGAGACTGGAGTTTTCCACCCTGAGCTCCTCGATTATATCGAGGTTGTCCCCACATTTGTCGTTCGCAATGTGCTTCGCCATGAGGTTCGTACCCGCTGCTATCGCGGCGGCAGCGTCTCGCAAGGCCTTGACGTGCGTCCCCTTCAGGTTCTTGGACTTTACTGAGAAGCCCAGTACCTTCATTGAGGCTTCCAATATCGAAGCCGTTAAATCCCTGAAGGGGGCTTCCTCCATATCTTCCATCAGCCTCTTGACCTCCGCCTTATACTTCCTGTTCCTTGAGCAGTCCTGGAACTCTTCTAACGGGTTTTCCATCCCTTTGATGATATCCTCCTCCCTCTTTTGGGCCAGGAACTCCTGCTTCCTTTCCAAGAAGATCCTCTTCTTCCGGTATTCTCCGGTTGTTTCCGGCCTTCCTCTTTTCCTGAGGGCTTTTTCAGCGAACAGTTCTTCGTCCGTCTCACCCTCCGTGTTAAGTGGGATGTCAAATTTTCCTGTTTTTTTTAGTTCTTTCTCCAGCTCCACTAGCGAGCTGGAGTCAGACTCCGACCCAACGATGTCTATTTCGATGGGGGATCTAGATCTATCGGTGTCCCCCTCCATGTTCCCTTTGGTTTTCAGGGATGTGGAACTCCTAAGTCCCGTCCTTCCTCTCACCTGCTCAGGGTGTTCTGAGGTGACCGTTACCGGTGCCCTCCTACGAGAGCAGTTTCCGGCTGTCTCCTCGCTCCTTCCTTTGCTTGCCAGGGTCGTCATATTTGCCAGGGTCGTCATATTTTGTTCCATATCCGTTAGGTCATTGATTGAAATAGAGTCTGTCATTTTGTTTCCAAACCCACAACTCTGCACGGCTCCGGTGCCCGGCATGCCCGCATCCCCCCGGCAAGGGGGAGCCTCCGAGTTCCCCCGGAGGAGCACCATATGGCACGGGCCGACGGAATATGACATCGTCGGCACAGGCCTCCCGCCCCCTACACGCGCCCTGACCACCATCTCTGGTGGCCAGACCGCTTTCGGGGGTCCCACACCTCCGACAATGTGGGCACCGTGCAGAGCGCCGCCACGCGGGGGGCCCCATGGAAGGAGATAGTTCACCGGTGTCGCACCCCACCGGGAACGTCTCCCCCATGGCAGCCAGCGTGCTCGCGCCGCCCGAGGGTCCGCTTTAGGGTGATGCGATCGCATTCCCTCGGGCACAGCACACAGGGGCTCCGACCCCGCCTCGGAATACGTCCGAGCGGCCCGGAGCACCCCTCCACCCCCCGGGTACCGCGAGGGGTTCCAAACCCTCGCGGTGTGCAGACCCGGGTGTGGGTACCTCTCTCCGCCTGGCCGTGGCCAGGACGGATGAGGGAGAGGATCGTTCCCTTCGGCTGCCGGAGCACCGGCGTGCAATGCCTCCGGGAATGAGTCCTCTAGTTGGCGCCTGAGGGTGTCTCGACCCAGACCTCGGAATACGTCCGAGCGGCCCGAAACACCCCTCCACCCCCCGGGTACCGTGGGGCAAGCCCCACGGTGTGCAGACCCGGGTGTGGGTTCCTCTGTCCGTCCGACCGAGGCCGAACGGGTGAGGGAAGTCGGGGAGTCCACCTTCGAAGAAGGTGGGGTCCTCTCCCCTCGTCACCCTAGGGTGCCCCGACCCCGACCTCGGAATAAGTCCGAGCGGCCCGGGACATCCCCTCCACCCCCCAGGTACCGTGGGAATAATCCCGCACGGTGTGCAGACCCGGGTGTGGGATCCTTCGTTCGCCCAGCCGTGGCTGGGACGAGCGAGGGAGAGAGATCCTCCCCTCTTCGGCTGCCGGAGCACCGGCGTGCAATGCCTAGGAGGGTGAGATCTCTCAGGACGCGGCAGCGTACCCCGACCCCGACCTCGGAAACGTCCGAGCGGCCCGGAGTACCCCTCCGCATCTCAGGCACCACGGGGGAGGAGGATCCCCATGGGGTGGAGCCCTGGATGCGGGTACGTCCCTCCGCCCCGGTCTAACCGTAACGGTCCAACCGAGGCGGGAGGAAAGGGTTCTCTCTCTTCGGCTGCCGGCTAACACCGGCGTGCAATGCCTCGGAGAGAGAGGTCCCCTTCCTGGAGCGAGTGTGGAGGAGGTCATCCCTGTCGGCTGCCGGAGCACCGGCGTGCAATGCCTTCAGGGATGATGATCTCCTCCCACCCGCTCTGTGACCGTGCTGGTCATGGACCAGGCTGGTCACTCAGCCCGGTCGGGTGCTCTTGGTCCAGTCCCTCCGTACAGACCACTCCGGCTTGGTAGAACCTGCCAGGGGCCGAAACCCCCGCCGGCACAGCTCTGTACATCATCGGGACCTTCAAGCCTCCCCACCACGTCAAGGTGGCACCCACGGGGAGGTAACCTAACCTAACCTAACCTAACCTAACCTAACCTAACCTAACCTAACCTAACCTAACCTAACCTAACCTAACCTAACCTAACCTAACTAACCTAACCATACTAAAAAAAAAAAAAACCTAACCTAACCATACTAAAAAACCTAACCTAACCTAACCTAACCTAACCTAACCTAACCTAACCTTTTTTTTTTTTTTTTTTTTTTTTTTTTTTTTTAGGCGGGGGAAATGCGTTACGCACACCCCGAGGTGGGCTCCTGATCCTAACGACCAGGCCTCGGGGTAGTGTCGGACTCCCCCCCAGAGAGAAGGGTGACCTCCTCTGGAGGGTTTACCGACTAAAACCCCCGCCGTGTCTCTTCGCGTCCTACTGCCAGGGGACCCGGAAGTTCCTAACGGCCACACATCAGTTCCCTCCAGCGACGCAGGGGCCACACGCCCACTTCCTCATGAAAAAACACTTGCCCACATGCCGTCCTCTCTCCTATCCTTATCCTATCCTGCCATCCCTCTCATTCTCTTTCTTCTCCTCCCCACCATACGCGCGCGCACACACCCACATACACACACACACACACACACACTCACACACACACGCGTACGCACCGGCCTACCCACACACACACACACTCGCATGCTTCCCATCCCCTTCCTTCCTTTCCTTTCCTTTTCCTTCCTCTTTTCTTCGTTAGCTCCTCCTCCTGAGAGATTCCTCCCCCTCCTCTTTCTCTCTCTTCTCTTTTTCCCTCTCTGCAACTTCTTTCGCCGTAAGTACTTTTGTGGCGAAAGTGGACACCGCTTTCCATTTCTTTTCCCCCCCTTGTACCATGGCACGCACTATAGCGGGCCAACTCAGGTTCTCCCCTATCTCCCGGATCATGTCACGCCTGGGTACATCCCATGCAGGGCACTCCCCGATCGTGTGGTCCGCGGAGTCAACCCCCGCACCGCAGTGTGGGCAGTCCGGGCTGGGTCTCTTTCCAATCCTCGTCAAGTAATCCCCGAATGAACCGTGCCCTGCCATGAGCTGGGTCAGGTGGTAGTGGAGACCCCCTGTTTTTCTGTGCATCCATGCATGGAAGACCGGGAGAAGCGCTTCCCTGACCCTTCTCCCCGGTAAATCCTCTCCTTCGAGGGAGGCTTCCCATTGCCTAAACATTAGAAGATCAGCTGCCATCCCGATTTCGCGTCTAGTCTCATTCCCGTCTTCACCAGCTTCCCTCACCATTTGTAAGCGCTGGTAAGCCCTGCGGTGCCTTGACGCCAGAAAGTGCACCGGGGGGATTCTGGCCAGAAGTAGGGCCGCTTCGTAGGAGATCGTCCTGTAGCCCGAA